GTTCCTAGAATTTTCCTTTCATTTATCTTGATTTGTAATTACCTTAACCATCCTTGTTATTTATTGTTTGAAATAGAATCTAACAACTAATATCTATGAATATAAAGAATTAAATAGTATGAACCGGATAACAAATTAGTGTAGAGTACAAGTAATTATCATGTTGATTATGTCTTAACTAGAAAATTATCTGCATCGTTATTGAAGTCGCTATTAGAGAAATTACTGTTACTCCGCGTGAAGGAGCATAGGCCAACCACCAGCATTCTCCATCCAACCCTGTCCCAAGCAATCCTTTCCAGCTCTTTCCAGTTCTTATTCATCCTTTTCATATCCGCTTGTATTTCTCGACGTAATGTGTTCTTTGATGATTTCCTCAATGTATGTCCTATCCATTTCCGTCGTCTTTTCCTAATTTCCTCTTCATCTGGAAGCTGATTTGTTCTCTCCCACAAAAGACTGTTGCTGATGGTATCCGATCAATGAATGTTATGTATCTTGTGTAGAAAACTGTTGGTAAATAATTGTACCTTCTTGATGATGGTTGTTGTGGTTCTCTAGGTTTCAACTCCGTACAGTAGAACTGACTGTGTTGACATTTTGAATAAATTGAGCATTGGGTTGATTGTTATGAATACATCCGTCTTGTACCATTTATCCTAGCCACTCATTCTGATCATATTTACAAATTCACACTATCATCTTACAAATTCAACTCTATGCTTTCTCACCATAAATGTCACACAACAATTTTTCATCCTTAAACAGTACACACAACATACACACAAATTTATATGCATATCACTTATGAATCACCTTGACCGAAATGACATAACATTAACTTGTTCAGACCTGTTTTTTGATTGACCACATATATTATTCTTAATGTTCCGTTGTACTATTTAAACTTGGATTAAGTTTAATTTGGTTATTTATTCTCTGAAGAATTGACTTACACTAAGCCACGAAACGTCAGAAAATCTAATTTTCTACTCATTGGGATATTACAAATATATTATTTATTTATGACTGTGTTGACGTTGGTATTGAAGATTGTGACTTTGATATTGGTTGACAGATAGTTGTTTTCAGTTCCATATGTTGTTTAATTGAAGGAATGATGCCCTTGCTTTGCGTATTAGAGAAATGCACGGAAATAACTTTTCTTAATGTAGATAGTATAGTATAATTAATTTGAATAGGAAAACAGTTTGTGATCGCTTTGTTTAACTTTCATTACAGTTTTTTTTTTCGAAATCTCATGTAATAAGCTATTGTTGTCCATTAAACATAAGCTTATAATTTTGCTCACATTTCATTCATTGCTTTCAAGTATTTTCGAAAAACAAAAACAATTTGGTATTTATGATCCACAATAATTTACTTGAAGAGAATAATTTTCTGTATTATGTGAAAGATTTGCATAAAGATATCAGTCGGTGACGGAGACATACGTATTGAGTACAGTGTAGAGATTTATTAAACATACCACCTCATTGTTAACCAGTGGTTTAAAGGCCATTAGCATCTCTCTACTACTTTGGTTCCGAATAACAGCTTGTATCCATTATCCTAAGACATTTATATATTTATTTTAACACGTACATATCGGTACAAGGAGGCACCAAATACATATGCGCCACACGAATCTCAATTGATTTGTGTGAGGGTTATGATACTGCCCGGGTGCCCAAACCGAAGAAGGTGGTTTTCTTAGGGGGCCACACCCCGAGCCTTTGACCTGAACGTCTGATCCACAAGGTAGTGGAGCATCGTGAGGAGATGCAGTCCCATGGTAGCCGGTGACCAACGATTAGTTCATACGCCATTTGTTCCTTCAGGATACTGGAGCCCATATGCACCATTGGTTTGGGATCCGGTTGAAGCGCCGGAAATTCGCTTTTCGTCCTCTCATTTTCGTAAACAACAGTAATGCCACGAGAATGCAGTGAGTAGGACTTCCTTGGTAGAGGCTATATACGCGTGGCCATGTGAGAGCATTTGAAGAGGGAGAGCGGACTCTCCCTACTCTCGGCCGTATCAGGGCATTTGGGGGCATAATATGTATATCAAAGATAATGCACACAATTGGATCCTGTTAAGAAATTATATACGTTTAAAAGTTGATCATAGTTTTATTCTTTATCGAAATAGTATTACATCCTATATCACTTTTGATTATTTTTAGTTTTAAAGAAAATAAAATTTATATAAACGGTAGGAAGATTTTTGAAAATGCCAACATGTACAACTACCTAAAATGAACAGGGTTAGTTTTAAAAACGGTTGCAAAAAAACAGGAGTTTTACAATGTAATTTTCAAATAAGTAATTTCTGAAGCGTTTTCATTCACATCACTATATAAACACTGTATTAGTATACGTAACAGATCAAAATGAATCAAGATATTTTGTTTGGTCATTTGAGTTTAAACTATTGAGTTCAAACTATTCGTTCAACTTTCCTAACAGGATTAGTCGTAAGTTTATACATATTGTAGAAATCCAGATTAGTGAATCAAAATTAAATAGGAACAGGGATGAAACATGTACTATAAGAAACAACTACTTAAATAGAAATTCTCTATAATGAAAGATACTGTGGTGTGGGTTACTTATATCTATATAAGTATTATATAACAGTGGTCAGGCATAGAATGTATTTCAGTAGAAGATCGATAAGGAAAGAAAGAAAACGGCACACAATTGGTATTCTTCTTACACAGAAGATTATTTAACAAATTAATGCATAATATCATTGAAAATTGATAAAAATTTATTGATTAGCGATTACTTATATGTTGTCTACTTCATTAGTTTATTAGTATGAATGAGATTGTATGAACTTCCTATAAAGTTTATTATTATTTTTGTCTTCTTTTCTGTAATAATTATATTATCTTAATAAATTTATTGAGATGGTGAAGAAGATTTGTAGCTCAGGTGGATGATTTTGATAGAGTTTTGTTCTCTGAGCTGGATGGTTTGATCTATCTGAAGTTTGTGCTGATGATGTCTTCCAGAAGAATGATGAAAGCTCCACGACTAAACCATCCATCTTAGAGAACAAAACTCTATCATAATAAATTTATTAATATAAAATTGTTTCGTTAATCAACCTTATTTCTAAATGATGAAATTTATTTATTAACTTGTTAACCATAGTATTCATTTGGCAGTATTGTCCATTAATTATTTAAGTCATATATGTATAATTGAAAATTGTATTTAAGATAATCTAAGCGATTGAAATTGTAAATAAGTTTAAAGTTTCGTCCAGCTAACTTGTCTGGACTTCTTCAGGGTAATAATCAAAATCATCAAAGAAATACATAGCGTTTTAACAATCAAATCAGATCAAATCTATCCTATGTTAATCCAAACATATTCGGATGTTAGTTTTTAGTAAATAGAATAACATAAGTCAGTTAAATGTAAATCATGTGAAAAGTTCACGATGTGAAAATAAATGACTGAATGAACTGTCTGTGTATGTATGTATGTAAAAGATTGAGTTACCTAAGACTTGATATTTCGTGTTAAGATAATATGCACACATACAATTCATTCAGTCATTTATTTTCACATCGTGAACTTTTCACATGATTCACATGCAACTGGCTCATATTATTATTATTATTATTATTATTATTATTAATGGCTTTATTCAGTATTATATTTTGGTACAATATAGAATTCTCAGCGCAAGTTATTTGAACAAGTTTCATTTTAAAAGAAAAACAGAAACAAAGACAAAAAAACGGTTATTCTATTTGCTAAAAATCAACATCTAAATATGTTTGGATTAATACAGTATCGATTTGACTGCTAAACGCTAAGTATTTATTTGATGATTTTTATTATTACCCTGAAGAAGTCCAGATAAGTTTGCTAGACGAAACGTTGGAATTCGATTAAATTTCAATCGCTTAGATTATTTCAAATATAATTTTCACATATAACAAATTTTCTATATTGGACGCATAAATTTTGTCAAACTAATAGTTCTAATCTTGACGAATATTCATATAAGTCATATATATTTTCATATATTCTATTGCTTCTTTTCTAAAATTTTTAAACTTCAACCGGATCAGTTGAGAGATAGTAACTCACTGATGACAATGATGGGTGTGTCGCTGAATTTCGTAGATTGGTTGAAGTTAGTCATTAACATCGTTGGATGCCAGCCAGCCCAGTGGTCCGGTGATTGAGCGCTCGCGTGCCAGACTAATAGATCCTGGGTTCGAATCTTGCGAGGTGGGATCATGGATGCGCACTGCTAAGGAGTCCCGCAATAGAACGAAACGGCCGTCCAATGCTGCCAAGTTTTTTATGGTGATCTAGCTTCAATTGACTCATGATTTCAACTATTGAAATTACTATAATCTCCGCAAAACTTCTGATGAATTTTGTTAATTTATTCAAATAAACCGTTTTTATTTAGAAAAGGAACAAATAAACTATTAATCCTTAATTTCAATGGTTAAGATCATGAGTCAGTTGAAGCTAGATCACCATGGAAAACCTGGAAGCACTGGACGGCCATCTCATCCTACTGTGGGACTCCTCAGCAATGCGCATCCATAAACCCACCTCGAGAGATTCGAACCCAGGGCCTATTAGTTTGGCACGCGAGCGGTTAACCACTAGACTAGTAAACCGATCGGCATCCAACAATATAAATGTCTCACTCCAACTAATCCACGAAATTCAGAGACACATTCACCATTGTGTTCAGTGAGTTACTATCTCACAACAGACCTGGTCACTACTTCTCATTAGAATTCCAGGAAATACTTGATGAAGCCAGTCACGGGTGAGCATATGTTGATTCATATCATACGATCATCTAGCTTCAACTGACTTATGATCTTAACCATTAAAATTACTTAAATATCCACAAAACCTATATGCTATTAATCTTTCATTAAATAATCCTTACAATTAAATTTATTGCTAAACATTTCTCTTCTATTTGTTTCTTTTATTTTTCTATAGTTTTTTTTGGATCAAAAAAATCACATCAAAACAAATCAATAACAACTCATAAATCTGATATAAAATTTATGAAATTTATAAATTTTGATAAAATTCATCCATTTATATTATTAAAACAAAATGATGATTATTTATCTATCATAAATAATCAATCAAATAAATTAATCAATTTAAATAAATATACAAATAAAACAAAATCACAAATTATAAATCAATTCAATAATGAATTATTATTAAATAAATTAGAAAATAAGAAACTATCGATTAATAATAATAAATCAATAAAAAAACAAAATACAAATAATAATAATAATAATAATAATAATAATAATAATGATAATAATAATAATGAATATGAAACATTTAAAAAATCAATATCAATTAATTATTTCAATGAACAAATGAATTTAATTAATATTTTTGAAATTTTTTTATTAACTATTTATCAAATTTATCAAAAAAATTTATTAAATATAATTAATGAAGAATATTTTAATCAATTAATATTATGTAATTCATCGATTTATTGTGATGAATTATTAAATTCCAATGAATTAAATAAAATGAATAATGATATAAATAATAAAAATTTATTAAATCAATCTACAATTATAAAACAATCAAATCAATTTATGAATAAATTATATTTAAATAAAAAATCTACAGTAAGTTATATTGATGTAATTTTTTTTTATTAATTATGTATTTTATAAAAGAAGAGAAAAGCAGAAGAAAAAGAAGTAGAAGAAGAAGAAGAAAAAATAATAATCATAAATAATATGAAAAAAAAGGATTTGAGTAAATTTTGAGATTTATGTTTGCTCTTTTTTTCTTTCTTTCTTTTATTTTCTTTTATATTTCATTATAAAGTAAGATTTGAAGAAGGGTTACAACACAAAAATAAGCAAACAAACAAACTAATCAATCACTGAGTCTGGTAAATTTAAAATTATTTGAGTAATCTGAGAAAAAAAATATTCATGAGGAATAGATAAATAAATCAGTATTTTTCGTTGTTGTTGTTATTATTATTATTACTTACTTACTTACGCCTGTTACTCCCAATGGAGCATAGGCTGCCAACCAGCATTCTCCAATCCACTCTGTCCTGGGCCTTCCTTTATAGTTCCATCAAATCGTTGTTCATTTTTTTCATTTCTGTCTCCATTTCTTGCCGTAATGTGTTCTTTGGTCTTCCTCTTCACCTCTTTCGGCATTCAGGATTCCATGTGACGACTTGTCTTGTGACGCAGTTGGATGTTTTCCTCAATGTGTGTCCTATCCACTTCCAGCGCTTCTTCCTGATTTCTTCCTCCACTAGGATCTCATTTGTTCTCTTCCAAAATAGGTTGTTGTTAATAGTGTCCGGCCAGCGGATCTGAAGTATTTTGCGTAGACAACTGTTAATAAACACCTGTATCTTCTGGATGGTGGATTTCGTAGTTTTCCAGGTTTCCGCCCCGTACAGTAGAACTGTCTTGACATTTATATTGAAAATTCTGACTTTGGTGTTGGTTGCTAATTGTTTTGAGTTCCAGGTATTCTTCAGTTGTAAATATGCTGCTCCTGCTTTGCCAATCTGTGCCTTCACATCTGCATCGGATCGACCGTGTTCATCAATGATACTGCCCAAATGTGTGAAGGTTTTACATCTTCCAAATCTTCTCCGTCAATTGTGATTGGATTGGTACATGCTGTGTTGTATCGAAGAATCTTGCTTTTCCCTTTGTGTATATTGAGACCTATTGTTGCTGAGGATGCAGCTACACTGGTTGTCTTCTCCTGCATTTGTTGTTGCGTGTGCGATAGAAGAGCCAGATCATCTGCGAAGTCTAGATCATCCAATTGCATCCTAGCTATCCACTGTATCCCGTGCTTCCCTTCAGATGTTGATGTCTTCATGATCCAGTCGATCACCAGGAGAAAGAGAAAGGGTGAGAGTAAGCAACCTTGCCTGACACCGGTCTTTACTTCGAACGACTTTGTCAACTGTCCTCCATGCACGATTTTGCAGTTTAATCCATCATAGGAATTCTGTATGATATTGACTAACTTCTGAGTCACGCTGTAGTGTCGAAGAAGCTTCCATAGTGTTGTTCTGTTCACGCTATCAAATGCTTTTTCGTAGTCAATGAAGTTGATAAAGAGTGATGAATTCCATTCAATTGACTTTTCCACAATGATCCGTAGATTTGCGATTTGGTCTGTGCACCATCTATCCTTACGGAATCTTGCCTGTTAGTCGCTAAGTTGTGCGTCTACGGAGTCCTTCATCCTGTTTAACAATACCCTGTTGAAGGCTTTTCCTGGTATTGAGAGAACAGTGATTCCCCTGTAGTTATCACACTTGCTGAGATCGCCATTCTTCGGTATTTTGGCCAGAAGTCATTCTTTGCAGTCTTTTGGTACCTGTTCTTCATTCCAAATCTTGCTGAAGAGAATGTGGAGCATCCTTACAGTTACCGCTACGTCTGCTTTCAGTGCTGTTATTATTATTATTAACTAATATTAATTGCGAATGACTAGTTATTATTTATGGATATCATAGTTCTAGTAATTAGTAAAGAGATTAATGGATAATGATAAAACTTTTATAATCATCTATTGACTAACGCTTAAATTAGATATATCTTCAGGATTTTATTTTTAGTACACATTTATATCTGTACAAATTTACATTATAATACTGATACTTAATGTTGTTTTTTTATTTATTCTGTTTTTATATCAGAATTTATAATTATTCACAACAAACTATTATCAAATCCTTATATAGTTCATTATGTATCTTATGGGACATTTAAATTACTTCATCATGGGTAAAGGGTATGTAGTTGAATGGATATTCAATAACAGTATCATAACAAGTGGTTCAACCCTTTTTTTTTCTAACTGGTTACTACTATCATACAATGTACTGGTATTTGATATTTTGCAGAGATAAAGACGAATTCCTTAATAAAATATTGAGTAAAATAGATAACTGGCTAAGGGCAATAATAATAATATAAGTTCTATATCATCCTTTTAAGGGTTTTATAAAGAAATACTTATTTTATGATTGATTTACCAGTAGATATGGCGGTGTTTATCTACAACCGGGAGAATTTAACCCTTTTAAATAAACTTTTAAAGATAATATATATCTTACTTCCAGTCAACTTTTATGCTTTCTTAATCCTTTCGGTCTAAAATATAAACAATAGAAGCAAAATTCTCTTATAGTATCTAATAATGTGAATATGTATGTAGAACATTTTTAAAATACATACATATGGATGTGATTTATTATATATGAAAATATTGAAGTTGAATAAATAATAAGAAAAATGTACACAGCTATATGTAACATAAAACGGCATAAAAAAAAAACTAAAAATAAACTTGGATTAGTTTTAATTTGATTATTTATTTATTCTCTGAAGAGGCGACTTACACTAAGTCACGAAACGTCAGAAAATCTAATTTTTCTACTCATTCGAATATTACAATTAGATTATTTATTAAAAAAAACTAAAACTGTTTAAACTACTGAAGTAATTCACTTTTTTTCCAGAATATTATATATTTTACACTTTGATTTGAATTTTTACTACATATAATCAAACATTGGAGAATGTTTATTAGCATTATTTGAATAACATCAAATAAATGTTAGACTATAATGATATGGAAACAAAGCACAATGTAACTAGTAGGTGTCAATACTAAGATTGGATATGATAGTTTCGAGATGGTGGAGAAGATTTGTAGCTCAGGTGGATAATTTTGATGGAGTTTTGTTCTCTGAGCTGAATGGTTTGGTCGTGGAGCTTTTATCGTTCTTCTCAACGACATCATCCGCAGCACAAACTTCAGATAGAAGTGAAGTGTTTGAATTTCTCCATATGCGTTTCATAGCTTGTTCTGTACACCTTGATGTTGATTGGTTCTTATTGACCTTAAATTTGTCATTATTTGTCATTGTAAATTTAAAGTCAATAAGAAGTTTGTGTTAATGATGTCGTTCAGAAGAACAATGAAAGCTCCATGACCAAACCATCCAGCTCAGAGAAAAAAAACTCCATCAATATGATAGTTTCAAATAGATTGAGCATAGGGTAGAGAAATAATGATAAATATATCCTAATGAGTAGGAAAATTGAATTTCTGTCGTTTTATGACTTAAAGTAAGCTACTTTTTTAAAGTAGATAAATAAACGAATAAAATTAACACAAGTTTAAATAGTACTCGGGTACCATTGTTTTCTATTTACTCTGAAGAAGTAGCCTATGTTAAGTCACGAAACGTCAGGAATAAATTTTTTCTACTCGTTTGGTATAACAAAAGATATGATGAAAATTCCCATTTGGACATTTGATAAATACAGAAGGAACGAATTGAGCGAGGAATTTTCTTTTCAATTAGTTTTTCATCATGGCTCTACACTAATATATATATGATTTACAATAATGATATAATACTCATCGAGTGGATATGTTACGTAATAATTACATAATGACGTTTAAATTAACATTGAGTAATTGGAAGAAAGATCATTATTAATATTCAAAGTAATTATTCGAAAATCAAGCAGTTGCTACGTTGCATAATAAATGAAAAGAGAAGGGACAAAATTTGTAATCGATGGTCAATAGAGTAGTAGCTACTTAAGAATCAAGAAATGAATGTTGAGAAATTATAAGTTTAAAAAAAATAAAAAAAACAAATTAGAAATTAAAAAAACCAAATGTGATAAGTATGGAAAATAGTTCTGTTGAAGGGAATGTTATACCAATTGCCAAGGCAGCGAAAGTGTTTGAATAAATCTCTTTTAAATGCAAAGGTCATGTTTGTGAACATGAATTGCAATGGCTTCCGCAATGTGCAAAAGGCGCACTCGTAAACCATGTGGTAAATTTGATGGGATATGGTAGATAACCTTAAAAGCTTTATTCAATTCAACTTGGTGTCCTGTGTCAACAAAGTGAGTGAGAATAGAACATTTAATCACTTTTACTTCTCCTTTATTTAGGAACGACGGATGATGTTCTGTAATACGGTTACGAACTTGCCGAATTGTATGCCCTATATAACTGGTTCCACAGGAGCTCCACTCAATGAGTATTATATCATCATTATTGTAAATCATATATATATATATATATATATATATATATATATATATATATATATATATGTACAGCCATGATGAAAAGCTAATTGAAAAGAAATTTCTTCGCTCAAAAAAATCTAATGATTATAATGTAACTAATTGAATGGATGTAGTAACAATCTTTATGTTTATTGAATGTGAAACTAGATTTTTAGATTAAAATTAAGTTTTAAACGTGGAAATATATTTTAATGTGAATTCTTGATCAAAATACGATTAAATTGGAAAAAAAACCTAAAACTAACCAATTGAAAATATCACATTGGTTTATGATAGTTTTTTCTAACACTCTGAATTATGCTTATAGATATGGATTTCTTATGTAATCCTTAAATTCACTTGGTAACATTTACTTGAATCTTCCCATTGATTTTCACGACTGCAATTAATCAGTCGCTCATTGGTATATGTAAATCGATTGCTAACTGTCTTCTTATTGCTTTTACGTTATAAGCATTTTAAGAAAAGATGGATGGTAGCTAACGATTCACACAGGATTCACATATGTCAATAAGAGACTGATCAATTGTAGTCGTGAAGATCAATCGGAAGATTCATATAAACAATACCAAGTGAATTTTAACTTCACTTCATTGCACAAACAGGTGCCTATCAGGACTCAGCAGCTAGATGGATAACGCGATGGCGTTTGAAGCAAACGGTACTGGGTTTGAGTCGCAGAGTAAGCATCAACTCAGAGATACACGTACATCCAACTGACAAAACATACATCTTGGATTTTACTGTTAGACACTATCCATATTTGCTTATAATTGTAATCCTTCTTTACAGAAATCAAATGATAATTGAAAGTTTATCACCGTAGATCTATACATATTTTCATTACAACGTATATTGTCTACAAATGACTTACAAATAACAAATGATATGAAATATTTCATAACTTATGAAAAGAAAAATAATTTATATGGAAATTTAATTTCTTTATTATGAATTATATTCATAGAATAATAATAGTTTACTGATTACAACAATTGGTTTTTCGTTACAGATTATTTGACTCACGAAATACTGACGTAATACCTCCTAAAATCTGTTAGAGTTAGTGTTTCACATTTTGTCATGCTGTTTCTCAGGAAATATGAACTTGTTTCTTAGGATATTCCTACATATTACTGACTATAAAATATTTCTCTACTGAATATAGTTGAAATTAGTTGGTGAATTTGATGTGAAGCAATTATAAAATGTTGATGAGCATATTTCTGTTTCAAATATACCTTTGGTAAATTGACTTCATCAATGTATCACATGTGATACATCATTACTAATCAAATTAGTATCAATGTTAATGACATTGAATCCTTTTGTTTACTTTATTTTCACCTAGAAAAACTCTCACATATTCATTGAAACAGCTTTCTTAATGAGCCAAAAAAAAAAGTTGAGGTGAGAGGTTTTGAAGTGAATGATTTGACTAGACTGTTGAATAATTCAGGCTTTTGATTAGAAGTTAAAGACACTGGTTATGACTGCATTATTATAATGTTATGAGAACATGTTATTATTGCTGTAAAAAAAAAAATAAAATTACGAATTAGTGAGAAGAGAAGTTAAAGAGTAAACGACTTTTAATGTACAACAAACTTGAGAATTCCTAATTTTTATTGTTTATAACACAGTGGATACTACTAACATTTACTCTGTAATTATAGATGGGCTTCAAATGGTAATAAAGGTTATTACTATATCAATAGAAAACGTTTTGAACTTTAGTCTTTTATTGAAATTTTATTTGATTGATATATACTACTTAATATACTGATTTTGTTAAAGTAAATGCTTCTAATCTGTTGAATATACATTATCAAAATGATAGATTCAAATATATAAACAACATTTTGGGAGAGATATATTCTGTGAGAATTACTTCACAAAGAATTATATTTAGAAAAAATAACTAGAAAAATATCTTGTTCTATTTTAATTTGTCGATATTAATTATTGATTTGAAAGAGTTAAGTTCAAATTACCATTTCCGTTTTTTTTTTTATATGATGTTATCCAGTAGTAAATCTAATCATATTGACTAATAATAAATCGATAACAATCTAACAAAATTTTGATTTGACTTCAAATTTCCTGAACGGATAACTGACATTAATAATCTACCTCTGATAAGTTCAATTATACGATCAGACTGATTTCTTGCCTATAAAATTTGGGTAGTGAACATATACATCTTAAAGTAGGTTATCTGAAACTGTTGAATAATGAACTACAATTTTTAATGTATAGATATTATTTGAGATTGATTTGTGCGAAGTATATTTGTGCAATGTAATACGTGCAAGACCTAGCAACGACAGCAGGAAATGCTGCAAGAGAAAGCAATATTAGACAACTATATGATACAATGAAGAGATTAGTAGGTAAATGTAGTAAACCAAAGATCCCGGTCAAGGACAAAGGAGGCAAGCCAATCACTGAGATTCAAGAAGAGAGAAAAAGATGGATAGAACACGTCGAGTAACACTTGAATAGGCCAGCTTCACTGAATTCATCGGACATCGAATTAACACACATAGACCTTCTTGTAGATGTCACTTCACCAATGATCGAAGAAATCGGCGTGATCATCAGAAAAATCAAGAGTGGAAAAAGCAGCTAGATCTGACAATATACCAGCTCAAGCACTGAAGTCAGATGTAAAAGCAACTACAAACAAGCTCCACACTCTACTCGGGAATATTTGGAAGAAAGAACAAGTGCTGACAGACTGGAAACAAAGACATCTCATCAAGATACTGAAGGAAAGAGTTCTGAGCAAATGTGGGAACTACACAGGTATCACACTACTATCTGTACCAGGAAAGATTTTCAACAGTGTTGCTGAACTGAAAGGAAGATTCAATAGACACCCAACTATGAGATCAACAGGCTGGATTCCGTAAGGATTGATTATGCACAGACCAATTTGTGACATAAGAATCATCATTGAACATTTAATTGAATGGAACTCGTCATACAACCTCTTTGACTACCAAAAAAGCATTTGACAGTGTGGAGAGGAGAAACTTATGGAAGCTTCTTCGACACTATGGAGTACCTGAGAAACTCGTCAACATCACCCGGAATTCATACGATGGACTACAGTGTAAATTCGTGCATGGAGGACAGTTGATAGGTAAACCGTAAGGACCGAAGTCGGACAAGGATGCTTAATGTCACTCTATTTCTTTCATCTGCTCGTTGATCAGGTTATAAAGACCCCCAAATCTGAGGAGAAGCACGGAATACAATAGACAGCTCGAAATCAATTGGAAGATTTGGACTTCGAAAATGACCTAGTTCTTCTATCCCATGTGCATCAGCAAATGCAGATGAAAACAACTTGTGTGGCAGCAACCTCATCATACACAAGTGAAAAGCAAGATCCTCAAATATAACACGGTGAACACCAACCCAATCAAACTTGATGGAGAAGCTCTAAAAGAGGTGGAAACTTCCACGTATCTGGCTAGCATTCTGGATGAACGTGGAGGATCTGATGCAGATGTAAAGGCGAGGATAGGTAAATCAAGGATAGCATTTTTACAGTTGAAGAACATATGCAACTGAAAACAATTGTCAACCAACATCAAAGACACAGTCGTCAATATGAATATCAAGACAGTTCTACCACAGGCAACCGAAAATTGGGGAACTATTACAACCATCATCCAAATAGTACAAGTATTTCTAAACAATTATCTACATGAGACACTCAATGTCTGTTGATTAGATATCATCAGCAACAGTCTACTGTGAAAGAGAACAAACCAGTTTTCAAGTGAATATGAAATTGTGAAATGATATTGGAAGTGGATGGAACATACATTAAGGAAATCATCAAACTGAGTCACGAAGTAAGCACTAACATGTAATTTTGAAGGGAAGTGGAAAGGAGGAAGACCAAAGTTCACAGTGCAGCGACAAAAAAAAGCAAACATGTAAAGGATGAACAGGAACTGGAAAGAACTGGAAAGCATTGTTCAGTTCAGAGTTGGATGAAGAATGCTAGTGAGCAGCCTATGCTCCTACACGAGGGGTAGCAAGCGTAAGTAAGTATGTAAGTATATTTCCTCAATAATACAGTCCGAGTCATATTCGTCATTCATCATATACATTCACTTCACAAATGGACCATTGAATCAGTTTACTGTCAATTTATACCCATAAAAGTTTGTTTAAACACTTCATAATGGTTACTAGCGAAATCCTTTAAGTTGTATAGGATGAGTTTGTTGAAGTGATATCATGCGAAACAATATACTAAATTATGATTAGAATAGTAACTATTCATAAAGCCAGTTTTAGGAAAGCTTTTGATGTAACTTTATATAATAATGAATAAATTGACATAATCATCTAAAAAATTCACTACAAAATTTGTGTATGAATCTTTATTTGTACATAATGTATTTGATATGACAGGATGAAAAGGTAAAACCGCATTCTTTTATACATTGTGACTTGTTGTTCAACATTACCTCCGTTTAAATTCACTGTGATAATTACTCAGTGTAGTATTTGTTCTGTTTTCCCTTATGATATTTTATTCGTCATAACACTACTTTGTTTGAGTGTGATGGTTGTTCATGAAATGAGATTCCTCGTATTGAATTAACCTAAATTATGCTCAGCATGACATGCAGCATGTGATTTGTCATAATTCTAGGTATTTTTGATATATCTGACATTGTCTTAATGAGTAAACAAAATGGGTGTACAATCAATGTGTTAATGAGTGTATTTTCGAATAGGGTCGTTGTCGTGTTTTGGGTTTAATATGTTTTCACTTATACTAACCTTAGGATTCTTACTTCGCATCATGGGAACTACAGTGGTTCTTTGTTCTTTTAAGTATAAGAATAAACAACACAGATATAACAGAATAATGGTCCAATCCAAGATGACAACGATTAATGTAGTAAGAAGTTCTTGTTTTATCGTATGTTACATGATTATAATGAAATTCTAAGAACTTTCACAATGTGAATCTTGACATTTATGGATCTTTCGAAGACTGAAATCTTTATTTTTTGATTAGTCAGTATCTGTCAATTTTTAGATGACGATTAAATACATTAATTTATAACTGAAACTTTTGAATGAAAAAGATTTTTAACATCTAACGAATGAGAGTACCATCGTTTTGATTCTAATTAATGATGATTAAAATAAATGTGTGAAGTCATTCCACTTTTATTTAAGTATACAAATCATAGTAAAAAATATTATCAAAGCACATTGCATTGATTTATTTTCTTTTTTCCAGGAGTATACATTTAATTCGTACAATCGTATGCACATATTAACTGCACTAATGAAACAATATAGTGCATACTCTTCATCATGTGTATCTAAACAATCAAGAGTATCACTATGCAAACTGGCTTGTTTGTTTAATCCTTTCAATAACCAATATTCAGAGAATATGCCATTACAATTTGAAGAATCTGATTCGGTGGATGACGATGGGCATACTTGTGATATGAATTCCATGAAACTAGAAGTAGTAAGTTTTTCATAGTTTTTATAATAAATGTATAATATCATTCACATTATATGATCTAAATACTTACTTACTTACTTACGCCTGTTACTCCTCGTGAAGGAGCATAGGCTGATCACCAGCATTCTCCATTCAGCCCTGTACAGAGAAATGCTCTCCAGTTCCTTCCAGGTTTTATTCATCCTTTTCATATCCGCTTCTATTTCCCAACGTAATGTGTTCTTTGGTCTTCCTCTTTTCCGTTTCCATTCACGATTACAAGTTAGCGCTTGCCTCGTGATGCAGTTTGAGGATTTCCTCAATGTATGTCCTTTCCATTTCCATCGTCTTTTCCTAATTCGCTCTTCAGCTGGAAGTTGGTTTGTTCTCTCCCACAAAAGGCTGTTGCTGATGTTATCTGCCCAATGAATGTTGAGTATCTTGCGTAGACAGCTATTGATAAATACTTGTACCTTCTTGATGATGGTTGTTGTGGTTCTCTAGGTTTCAGCTCCGTACAGTAGAACTGCCTTGACGTTCGTGTTGAAGATTGTGACTTTGATATTGATTGACAGACAGTTGTTTTGAGTTCCATATGTTGTTTAATTGAAGGAATGCTGTCCTTGCTTTGCCAATCCTCGCCTTTACATCTGCATCTGAACCTCCTTGTTCATCGATGATGCTTCCCAGATATGTGAAAGATTCTACATCTTCGAGAGTTTCGCCATCAAGAGTGATTGGATTGCTGTTCACCTTGTTGTATTTGAGGACCTTTGTTTTCTCCTTTAAATACTTCAAAATTATGAATTGATTATTTCATAGCTTTTTTGCCTTTATAAGACTGAAATCTGAGTCTTCTTATTTTGTTAATATTTATTTTAAACTAAACATTTAGTCATCACTCAACATATAAATATCAATACTATTTTATAATTTTTTTGACAATTTTTATTTTAGATAAAAGAAAATGATAAACAAGACAATTCAGTTCATGAGGGAACCATATCACAATCGACTTCACCAAAAACTTTTGGCAAAACAGAAGAGCATACCTCGAAAGGAATACAAAATTCTTATACAAAATTGGAGACAAACAAACAATTGAAATTCAATAGAGTAACAGGATTAAGTTCAAATTTTGTCACAGAAATTCTATTTTCTCTTTATCCACTTCTGTTTACTGAACATTCAGATTTAGCTTATGAAGGAGTCGAATCTCTGAAAGCTAGAGCAACGTATGAAATATGGTCAAATGTATGTAGTGATATAACCATTTATTTATTTACTATTTTAATATTTTTGTTCATTTACATATAATTTTGGTTACTAATCCTGTTCAAGTTTATTTACTAGAAAAATAATGCCTTAAAAATGTTAGGTTTGAAGCTTAACGAGTTCACTTAACCTTGCGAACGCGAACGAGATTCGATGACCAACGACCAGTAAGCTAACTATTGACGCGTCCCAGTCCCGCTATCTAGAGACAGAACATCAAGCTTAGAATGGAAGTATAATCGGCAACAACCAGAAACCAGCGAATTTTTTTACAAGACAATTTTAAAACGTATATATACAAATATATATGTATGGATATTGCCATGGAGCTTTTAAACATTTAATCGATAAATTCGTCAATCGACTATGTGCGTGGGTGGTAAAAAGTGCCCATGTATACAACTACATACAAGCTCCATCAGATAAAATTACAAACTATGAGTTTTCGGGGGATCTATCGTCTCCAACAAGAAATCTTTTAGTTAAAAAAAATATCAATGAGATATCGTTTTACAGTGGGTCTTAAAACTTTCCACTGTTTATATTTCTGGAGTATATTATTCACTCACTGTTGACAGATGGTCTCATTGATTAAAAGTCTTATTAATGCTTATATTTGTTTGTTGAATATTGACTAACTATAGAACCCATTACTCACATATTTTCAATCTACAATTCATCTATTAAACATTAATATTATTATTCTTGATAATAAGAGAGTTAGATATGTATCATTTCAAAATAGCAGAACACTTTTCTTTTCCTCTATTTGTGATAACAAGCTTCATTGAAATTAACAAACATGAATAGAGTAAAACATATTATTATTTTACTTTTAATGTTTACATTTAAATCACTGTTAGCTTGTATAAAATACTATTTTGATATAGAGAGTATGAAATCCAAAACTGAATGGAACTATCATTATACAATACCGTAGAGTATAGATAATTCTAAGACAGCTGATAAAACATTATAAGTAGTGAATAGGATTTGCTATTTTCGCTTGATTTATCAAGATAATTTAAGTCATTCACATAATAAACCATTTTTAACTATCAATAGTTGAGATCATGAGTTCATTGAAGCTAGACCACCATGGAAAACCTGAAAGCACTGGATGGCCATTTCGTCCTAGTATGGGACTTCTCAGAAGTGCACATCCACAACCCTGCCTCACGGGTTTCGAACCCAGGACCTACCAATCTCACGCGCGAGCACTTAACCACTAGACCACTAAACCAGCTAGCATCCAAAGGTGTTAGTGTTTGACTTCAACTAATCCACGAAATTGAGAGACACATCCAGATGAACAATACACAGTTTTATAAAATTCTTTCGATTGACAATCTTTTATGAAGCAAGAATTAATAATATTATGTGATCAAGTGGACTAATTATTTTTAGTTTACTCTTTCAAATACTGAAAAATATTTTTAATTAAACATTTCAGAAATATAATTTTGTAAAGTTATTGAATGGACTGATGAAAGAAAGCTAAAATCAATTTCCACAACTGAACATATTCAATTTATATAGAAACAGTGTGAGTGAGATCATGATGAGGTCAAGTCAATAGGAATATATATATATATATATATATATATATATATATATATTATTAGGGTAGGCAAAATGATAAGCTTAGTAGTAATTACAAAACCAAATAGTTAATTGATTATAATAATGTTGATAGTGAAGAAATATCAGAAGGGGTTTTGTGGAGATGTAGTAATTTCAATGGTTAAAATCATGAGTCAGTTGAAGCTAGACCATCGTGGAAAACCTGGAAGTACTGGACGGCCGTTTCGTTGAATTATGGGACTACTCAGAAGTGTGCATCCACGACCTCTCCCCCCTGCGAGATTCGAATCCACAACCTACTGGTTTCGTGCTCTGAGCCAGCCGGCATCCAACGGTATTAATGTCTAACTTCAACTAATCCGCGAAATTCAGAGACACATCCACCATTGTGTTCAGTGAGTTACTATCTCACAACAGACCTGGTTGAACTCCACTGGTCACTACTTCTCACTAGAATTCCAGGAAATACTTGATGAATCCAATCACTAGTGAGCATATGTTAATTAATATTAGAAGGGGTTTTGTGAACAAATAATTGTAGAACAAGATGTTTTGAAAATTTAAAGTAGGAACAATCATTCTAATTGAAGAACTGATGGATTTGAGTGGGTGAGGGGATGAGTTAAACAACAATAATAATCTAAATAATTGTAAGAATATTGTAGTAATAGTTAAAAAATATAGATGTTTACTAAAGTAAATGATAACATATTATTGTAGTTATATGAATAATGGTCGAGAGAATGAGGAATATTTGTAAAGCTTATAAATTAATTAAAAATAATACTGGAAAAAGAAATGTAGAAGTAACAGTAAATTAATCATCAAGAAAAATGTTCTTATGAACTTAAAATACGAAATATTTAGAAGACAGAAGAGATGAAAACAAATCAATTCCCATTATTTTATAACGTTAAATGTTTTTATATTATGAGTTAGAAATCGTTAATTTTTAGTTTTAGGCAAAATTCTAACACTTAATCATAGACACGTATTCAAATATATAAAATTTAATTATACTACTTAAATAAGTTTAATCAGGAACAGATAATTTGGCCGGATACCATCAGCAACAGCCTTTTGTGGGAGAGAACCAACCAGCTTCCAGCTGAAGAGGAAATTAGGAAAAGACGATGGAAATGGATAGTACATACATTGAGGAAATCATCAAACTGCATTACGAGACAAGCGCTAACTTGGAATCCTGAAGGGAAGCGGAAAAGAGGAAGGCCAAAGAACACATTACGTCGGGAAATAGAAGCAGATATGAAAAGATGAATAAGAACTGGAAAGAGCTTGAAAGGATTGCCCAGGACAGGGTTGGATGGAGAATGCTGGTGAGCGGCCTATGCTCCTTCACGAGGAGTAACAGGCGTAAGTAAGTAAGTAAGGAACAGATAATGACATGTAAAAAACAAAAGTTAATGTATAATTTTTTAATTTTTATTTCAGGTATTATTATTGATTAATTCAATAGAAAAAGATTATATTCGATCAAAATCATATCATTTAAAATCTTTTAAATTGAATAATTCAATAATTAATCAAGAAGTATTCAATACCAATAATTTTAATGAATATTCAATTGAAGAAAATAAATTAAATTCTGAACAATTAAGTTTAGCTAGTGCTTATTGTGGTTTATGGTCTGGATTATTAGGGAAACGATCTAATATACAACAACATGAAATATCATCAGAATTATGTAATATAAAAGATTTATCCGATAAACGTTTACATTATGTTCGATTAGCACAAGCTAAATTTAAACGACCTGTTGTTACAAATTCTAATTTTAAAACTATAAAACTTCCAGATGATATAACACCATTATCACCAATTGATATAACTATTACAAAACAAAATGATAACAAGAATTATCTTACAATATATAATAATAATAATAATAATAATAATAATTGGAAAAATTCTATAGATGATTTAATAAAAATTGAAGAATCAAATCCATCATCCATTTTATTTACTCGTGAATGGTTTAAAAAAACACTTTGGAAAGATAGACAATTTGAAAAATCTTAAAATTGATTCCTTTTTGTTTTTTTTTATAGTTTTCAATGACTTTCTTAGATTCATAATAATTTTATTTGAGTATTATTTATACTTATTACTTATTGAATTTTTGAACATGAAATATTTATTCTTTGCATTTATCAATTCAAATAAAATAATTATATTATACAAGTTTTATATGTATGCTACTTATATCAACATAAGTAGTATATGATTATTATTATTATTATTGTTATTATTATTATAAGCTTTATTCAACATTATATTTGTGGTACACTATTGAATTCTCAGCATAAAGTATTTCAACAAGTTTCCTTTTCTTATATCTTGATCGATTCTGACGATAAATATTGAGTGATGGCCAGTTAGATGTTAGGAGTTCGATAATCGACATCTGAATAATGTTCATTCGTTTCAATGCATATTGCAAGCCACTATGATGTTGTTGGTTGTACCTTTTTGTAATCCGTACAGCGAAAAGTTGTAAACTTTTCATAAACGCGCCTGAATAGGTTGTGAGCTCAATAGACATAATAGTGTGTTAAAACAAACAAGAAAACAGATAACTTCAAGAAATATTTAGATGGGAGGAACAGGTAGCCCAGATATTCAAGCAGGCCGCCGATGATGTTAGTTAGGAACATAATGTTTGGCAACAAAGAGATAATAGGATCGAACAGTAAAAAAAAATGGAAACAGTATGTAATTTTTATGAAAATGCAAGAACAAAAGAAAATCTGAGTGATTTTGAGACAATAGATGGACATTTTGCAAATTAAGCATTTACTATATGGTTCACAGATTTTATTGACATGCTTTGTAATGTTGCATCAAATATAATTGATCACCCCCAGTCTTATTCTTGTTCACTATAAAACATTTTTAGAACAATCTACTTTTACATCTATAATAAGTTACTTGTAACTCATTTAAGGTAAATATGTTTAAAGTTGTCTGGAGACAATTATTATTCGATGTAGAAAACAAAAAAGTTGATTAATTATTCACTGAATTTGAAAATGATATGAATTTACTTTATTGCCTTCTTGATAAGTTTAAATTAAAAATAAAACAACACAAAAAATGTAAAACATTATTCTCAATTGTTCATTTGAAATTGATTGAAATGTGATTTGTAAAACTTTTCATAAGAGTTATGGCTAGAAAATTTAGTCGTAATTGAATGTCACACGGTACTTACTTACTTACTTACGCCTGTTACTCCTAATGGAGCATAGGCCGCCGACCAGCATTCTCCAACCCACTCTATCCTGATCCTTCCTTTGTAGTTCGCTCCAGTCGTAGTTCGAACTTCTCATGTCTGTCTCCATTTCCCGACGTAATGTGTTCTTTGGTCTTCCTCTTCACCCCCTTTGGCCTTGAGGATGGATGCAGTTGGATGCTTTCCTCAATGTGTGTCCTATCCACTTCCAGCGCTTCTTCCTGATTTATTCCTCCATTGGAATCTAGTTTGTTCTCTCCCACAGTAGGTTGTTGCTAATAGTGTCTGGTCAACGGATCCGAAGTATTTTGCGTAGACAACTGTTAATAGACACTCTTATATTCTGGATGATGGATTTCGTAGTTCTCGAAGTTTCCGCACCATACAGTAGAACTGTCTTGACATTTGTATTGAAAATTGTGAACGTGGTGTTGGTTGACAGACAGTTGTTTTGAGTTCCAGATGTTCTACAATTGTAGATATGCTGCTCTTGTTTTGCCGATCCGTGTCTTCACATCTGCATCAGATCCACCGTGTTCATCAATGATGCTGCCCAAATGTGTAAAGGTTTTACATCTTCCAAATCTTCTCCGTCAAGTGTGATGGCATTGTTGCACGTTTTGTTGTATCGGAGAATCTTACTTTTCCCTTTGTGTATATTGAGACCTACTGTTGCTGAGTCTGCTACTACACTGGTCGTCTTCTCCTGCATTTGCTTTTGCGTTTGCGATAGAAAATCTAGATCATCTGTGATGTCTAGATCGTCTAGCTGCATCCTAGATGTTCACTGTATTCCGTGCTTCCCCTCAGATGTTGACGTGATTTATGATACAGTTGATCATGATCAGGAGAAATAGAAATGGTGAGAGTAAGTAATCTTGCCTGACACCGGTCTTTACCTCAACTGTCCTCCATGCACGATTTCGCATTTAAATCCATCATAGGAATTCTGTATGATATTGACTAACTTCTAAGGCACGCCGTAGTGTCGAAGAAGCTTCCATAGTGTTTTTCTGTTCACGCTGTCAAATGCTTTTTCGTAGTCAATGAAGTTGATGTAGACAAACGTAGTACTGTGTATCGGTACTACGTTTATCTTCATACTCTACTAATATTGAATTTCTGTGTTAAATAAATTAAATATAAGCAGTAATTTAGAGAAAGCGCTGATCAAGTAATAGTTTCCAATTTAAAGTTTGAGAAACGATTGATGTATATCATTTAATAAATCTGTGTTTATAGTAAAAACTGGTACCAATTAGGACGTTGTTTCAATTTCTTTACATATTATGCTTTAAAAATAGTTATCTCCCTTAACATCCTACCCCAAAAAGCCAGTGAATAGAAAAGATTTTATTGTTATTGTTTATCTTTATAAACAATAGTGTTTATTATAATCGCTGATATAATTGTAAGTCTTCAAACTCCTTTTTATTCTATATGCTCCATCTACTCAAGACAAACAGTTTTTTTAAATGGTTTCAAACTCATTCGGAAGTAAAAGCACATAGGGAGTAACTCACTGTGCTATAGCTCCTTCAGTATTTTAAAATGTAATAAATTCGTGAATAAGAATCCAATCTTCGTTTTTCGACGCTATAAATATCATTAGAGTAAGATATTCTAAAGCACTAATTGTAAAGTGTTGCAACAAATAACTGTTTAACGTGAATAAAAAATGTAAATGCATTTTATAAATGTCTGTATTAGTCACTAGCTGGCTTTCATACTCAGTTAGCTGATGTAACAAATTTTCCATCCATTATACATTAGATGCATGGATTCCAATGTATTCATCTGTCGCTTCTTGAAAAGATAGAGAACAAAAAAAATTATGTTAACCATTATATTGTTTCGGTTTGAGTTTATCACAATTATATAAGTAATTTATAATAGCCTATGAGCATATGTAACTAACAATCATAATTGTTCATTTCTGACGAATCTGAAACTTGTGGGGCCTTTTATTTTGTCGTCATTTAGATTGGACGATGTTGTCGAAGGGTTTTTCATTTTAGTGGCATGAGATCTAACTCCAAGTAGATCATATGAATGTTTGTTATCGCCTATCCTCGTATATAATCATCGACTTAAATCATGTTAGTTAATAACGGAATTAAATAAGTTAAATTACGAGAAGAATGGACTTTTGAATACATATATTTTGTATATGAAACGAATGAAATAGAGAGAAGCAAAACGATGCGCAGTGGAGATGGCAGGTAAGCCAACTCCCCATTTAACCAAGAATCGATCAATATTTATAAGCATATAAAAATGAGTTACCGACATGTGATGAGTAATGGGATAAGAAGTGTACACACACCTACGCGCTCATATAAAAACCGTCAAGATTGATAAGCGAATAATTAACAAGGTCAGAATGTGACTACTCAAGTAGAATGAATAGATTGAGCCGTTCGAAAGCTAGAATATAAGGTATATGGGCTTAAACATAATAACAGACACTACAAACTCAACGGCTTATTGCAGTATTTACAAAGTCAAAACATTATTAAGTTGTAAAATGTTAACTATATGCTTTCGTTCTTTTTTGAATTCTCTTCAGTTATAATAATCTCATTTTTTTGTTATTTACTCTCTCTTGTTTCATATTACAAATATTACACCAAAGTCAGAATTTTCAATATAAATGTCAAGACAGTTCTACTGTATGGGGCGGAAACCTGGAAAACTACGAAATCCATCATCCAGAAGATACAGCTGTTTATTAACAGTTGTCTACGCAAAATACTTCAGATCCGCTGGCCGGACACTATAAGCAACAACCTACTGTGGGAGAGAACAAATCAGATCCCAGTGGAGGAATGAATCAGGAATAAGCTGTGGAAGTGGATAGGACACACATTGAGGAAAGCATCCAACTGCGTCACAAGACAAGCCTTCATATGGAATCCTCAAGGTTGAAGGAAGAGAGGAAGACCAAAGAATACATTACGCCGGGAAATGGAGATAGATATGAGAAAAATGAACAAGAATTGTATGGAACTAGAAAAGAAGGCCCAGGACAGAGTGGGTTGGAGAATGCTGGTCGGCGGCCTATGCTCCATTGGGAGTAACAGGCGTAAGTAAGTAAGTACATTTGTCACCCATTAACACATACATATACACAAGCATGTCACACATAAATTACTGTGACAGGGATGACATGACATTGAGTTTGTCAGATCTTTTTTTTTATTGATCGGTCTAAATAATATTTGCTTTGATCCTCTCTACTGTTTAAAATTTGGATTAATTTAATTTATTCTCTGAATAAGTGGCTTACATTGAGTTATTGGGGTATTACAAATACAACATTATGTGGATTAGTAACAAACTATACAAATTATTTGAAATTTTCAGATTTGGGCTGATGTTTTCATTACCCAGTCTACTATCACTATACATCATGAAAAGCAGGAATTACTAATTGCAACATTTATGTAATAATCATAATATTATTAAAAGTCAACCAATAAATTGTAATGAATAATTAAAAATTATTATAATTAACTAATCATATGATTTCCAGTGATATTTGATTTCTGTAACTAAGCAAAACTGTGATTATCATTCACGTAATACTTTAATGTAAATGGAATCTTCTTTATGGCTAATTACAATTATTTTAATAAAAATAACAGTTTCAATGGTTAGATCATGAGTCAGTTGAAGCTAGACCACCATGGAAAACCTGGAAGCACTGGACGGCGAGGTTATGGGTGCGCACTGCTGAGGAGTTCCATAATAGGACGAAACGGCCGTCCAGTGCTTCCAGGTTTTCCATGGTGGTGGTCTAGCTTCAACTGACTCATGATCTTAACCATTGAAATTACTACAATCTCCACAAAACCCCTTCTGATAATAATAAAAATATTACTAAATATTAATAAGTTTAGATTCACTTGGTATTGCTTACTTCAATATTCCCATTGATGTTCACGACTGCATTTGATCAGTCTCTCATTAGCATATAAGCAGCATGTGCAGATTGCCTCGATATTGCCTTAAGTTACAAGCATTATAAGAAAAGGTGAATGGTGGCTAGCAAACCACACATGATGCATATATGCTGATAAGAGACTGATCAATTGCAGTCGTGAACATCAATCGGAAGATTCAAGTAAACAATACCAAGTAAAGTTTAACTTTATCTCATTGCACAAGCAGGTGCCTATAAGGACTCAATAGTTAAGTAGTTAGTGTGATGGCATTTGAAGCGGAGTAGGCATCAACTCTGAGATGCAGGTACATCTAGCTAATGAGTTCTGAATTCCACTGTTAGCCATTATCCATTTTTAGTTTTTTTTCATTAAATCCATTTAATGATTAACATCATGAGTCAGTTGAAGCTAGACCACCATGGAAAACATGGAAGAACTGGATGGCCGTTTCGTCCTATTACGGGACTCCTCAGCAGTGTGCATCAACGACCTCACACACCCCCTGCGAGATTCAAACCCACGACCTACTGGTTACTGACGCGAGCACTCAACCACTACACCACTGAGCCGGCCAGCATCCAACGGTATTAATGTCTAATTTCAATTAATCCACGAAATTCAGAGACACATCCACCATTGTGTTCAGTGAGTTACTATCTCACAACAGACCTGTT